TCCTTATCTTGAAACCGACTGAGATTTCATAATTTCCAAAGGTTTTATGATGCAAATCGGTTGTATTGTGACAACGTTTCGCCCTTTGACCTGGCCTGAAGAAGCGCTTGTGTCAAGGTCGAAACGTTGTCGCAACACAAGCCCATATAAAACCGATTTGCATTCTAAGACATTCATTCCTCTTGACCAAGTCATCGCTTGGTCTTCTTTCCTCTTTTTCATCCACACTCCCGGCGAGCAAACAACGCACGTTGCGGGAGTCGGTGGGCTGACATGCGCAATGCGTGGCCCAACCATCGGAGCTTGGTTTGTGAAATAACGGTGCTGAGTGATTCAGTAACTCTTCTTGTGGTATAAACAAGGCGCCGAACACGCTCGTTGCTAAGGCAGTGTTTCCACCAAATATAAGCTAGAGTACGAAGGTACCAGTGGTCGAGTGTAACTAGCCCCTTCAAGTCTACCGATCTAATGCACCAGGTTTCACAACTGTACAGTAAGTCGAACGTACGGCTGTAGTGCACATTCTACTCTTCAGGGAGAGAGTGAGGATGAACTGGCCCCATACGTAGCGAAGATTAGCAAAAGCGTCTCGAGCTTTTGTTATAAGGTTTGTGACCTTATCTTCGATTCCACAGGCGCTGATACGACTACTTAGGCAATTGAATTTCCAAAAGTCTTCTAGCTGATCAACATCATGGAGCAGCGCAGGAGGCAAGCCATGCCAAACTTGGAAAAAGGCTTTGCACTTTGAAAGTGCAAAGCAAAGCAAGAAAGCGGGTGACAGCCCGTGTTAATCTGTCTAAGTGCTGCTTGGCACGTTTGAGAGCTGTCACAAACCAGCCTGTAGCCGAAAGCCTCGTAACTTTGGCTGGGCTGTGAGAATGTTTACAGGTTGATTGTGCTTGAGTACCGATGAATGATAAGTAGTTCTCATATCTGATGGAAGGCCGAGCGCAGTTAGTCATTAGGTGTTTACCGATAGACACCCAAGTGCATCCTTGGAGTGTCTCCTACACTCGGATCGCCTTCGGTGGTTTTTGTGTGCTAGGAATACGTGTAAGCCGGCTGCTACAAAATGTGTCATGTTTGTCAATATTGCGTCACGTGGAGTGAAGCCAGGTAAAGAAACGACAGATGAGTATGAAAAAACCGAAAGGGTGAATTGAGCTGATGCTTGTACTCTTCTCGAATGGGGTCCTCTGGACCAACCATATTAGTGGCTGCACCCTTTGAAAGATATAGCGCGGTCACAGAATCAGTGGTACTCTTGCATTATTTCATTCACTCCGGACCGTTGACCACTACAGCCTATGAGCTAAAGTGTTGTTCATTCCCCCTGAATTATGATTATGGCATGATACTTTTGGTGACATGTGCCAAGGCAACTGGATTCAGGGTACCTCAGTGCACGGATCAAAGTTGTGTTATGATCTGCCTCTTTGTAAGCGATTCCGGTTGAAACGAATTGGTTATTTTCTAGCTCCGAATTCCAACCGGAAGTCAACGCTTGGAGGCATAAGCGTGTTGCAGAACCAGCTACCGGAACGGAAACAAATAATGTGGAATCAACAGGCATTTTTATGAACCAACAAAAGAAGGATCACATATCAGCTGTGCTGATCGGTAGATCAGTTCCGCTAGCCAATGGGAAGGTTAGTGCACACATCGTAGAGACACGAACGTTCCTGAAACCATTTAATGTTTCGGTTGTATACCATTGGTTCAGCTTGTTTTACCCATTGAATTAATGAATTTTCCTGGGAGGTTTTACTCTCCATGACAAGTTGAGAGAGGGAACTGGATGGAAGATATGCGAAGAAAAATCAACATGGTAGCAAAGTATACTATTTTTCGGCAACGAGGGTTATTGATCATGAGTGGATGAAGACCGGTTGGGGTTTCGCATAGAACCAATAATCACACAGGGTTTGCCGCAGCGAAGAAAATGAATCACCCATATACATTAAGAACAGAGATTGACTCGGTAAGCCATACTGAACTACCCTACTTGCGACGCAATTGGTCAAGAGGCCAGTGCCGGCCCGTAGCCTTAAAGATCACAAGACTACATGGTAATCCGAGGTAGTAGTAGTAGTAGTAGTAGTAGTAATCTCAACAGTTTAGTAACTAGACATAGAGCCAAGAAAGCCATGGAAATCAGTGTATAAGAGACAGTCATTAAGTCATAATCGTCGTGGCATGCTAGCTGAAGGTGGGCAACACACTTCAGCTAATATGCCGCAAGAAAATGGAATATTTGGACAAAAATACAGAACAAAACATTTTTAGTTTGTTTGTCACACGCCGGTTTTTCTCTTTTTTTGTCATTTTCAATGTTTGTAGAATTAAACATGTGAATCAACACAACACTGTACACAATTCTTCCATTGATTCCGGTTGCGGGCCATGTCTTCAAGTGTCCTAAGCCATTGGCATTCCTCATCTTTGGGTCCCCATCCTGGAAGACGTACGGGTCCAACAGCGGCTAGACACGACGTCAGCGATTTCATGTGCTGCCGCCAAGTGGAAGGCTGACCACCACGCGGTCGCTTCCAGCCAGATCCTTGACGAGCGAATAGAGCGCGACGCGGTAGACGCTCAGGTGCCATGCGTAGGACATGACCGAGCCATCTTAACTGGCGCAACAAAACCAGTTTGTTGAAGGAAATACTTGCATTCCCCAAGACGCGACGACGAACGTCAGTACTGGTAACTCGATGTTGCCACCGAACACGAGCGATCCTCCTTAAGCAACCGTTATCGAACGCAGAAAGACGACGCATGTCTTCCACGCGAATCGGCCAGGACTCGCTCCCATACAACAATACTGAGCGAACGGACGCGCTGTAAACTCGGCCTTTTAGTGAGAATGAGACGTCGCGACGACGCCACAAGTGCCTCAGATTGACAAATGCTGATCGAGCTTTAGCGATACGAAGCGAAACTTCTTTGTTGATTGTGCCGTCAGCGGAAACACAGCTCCCAAGGTAGACGAAACTATCTACTTGTTCAAGTTGTGCACCTTGGAGAGTGAGCACGGGTGCAGGTGAAATCCAATCCTTGAGCAGTACTTTACACTTCGATGGGGCGAAGCTCATGCCATACTTAGATGCTTCAACCGCCAAACGATCCAGAATGAGTTGCATACCCTGAGGATCGTCACCAAGTAAGGCGATATCATCAGCATAATCTAAGTCGGTCGCGCGCTCACCCGGTAGAAGCTCTAGGCCAAAATGTTGGAAACCTTCTAGGGCATTTGACAGAACGTCTTCGATTGCGAAGTTGAAGAGGAATGGGGACATAGGGCAGCCCTGTCGCACACCGCTATTGACAGCGAATTGCGAGGAAAGCTTGCCATAGACCCTCACTCTGCCGGATGTGTGAAGGTAAAGTGCTCGGAAGATGGCGATATATTTCTCTGGCACCCCGTTCTTTAGTAAGCAACGCCATAAAGCAGGTCGATCAACAGAGTCAAAAGCGGCACGTATGTCTAGGAATGCAACGATAGTGGGCCTGTGATAAATGTGGCGATGTTCAAGGAGTTGGCGGAGCGTGAAGATTTGATCCGAGGGCGTGGGTTCGAGCCAGCGTTAGGACCGGACGACCCTCGTGGCCTACATGCGACTGCTGTTGATTGCGCGGCAGCGAAACGTCGGTACTGCGTACCGGCGTAATGCAAATGTCTTTGTTGTTATGAAGCCCAGTGTATCGAAGGTGTTAAGTGAAGTTCTCTTTAGAGTACTGCTATGGGGCACTTCACCAAACGTTCTTTTGAAAATCGGTGGATCACCTTTAGTTACGAAGTCCGTTATTAATACAAGTAGATAAGATGGGAGGTGTTACATGAACAAGATCGTATCATACCATGCGGAAATATGCTGATTGGATGATGCGACAGAAGAAATTATATGAAGCGCTTGTTAATGATCAACCAAATGTTCTAGACATAAAAGGTGATAATTATCGGTCGGCTACTTTCGGCGCATAGCTGTCTTGTTAGATGTGACGGTAGTATACCGGAAAATGTTGGGAAATAACCAAGGAATCAGAGCTAGCTTGAGAACGTCTTTAAAAAAGCATCTTGTTAAAACAAACTAAATAGAGAAACCGTCGGGGGTAGGATGAAGAGAGGATTTCAAACAGGTGGCCGGTCATCTGACGCTCTAGTGAACGAAAACTACCGTGTTATTCCCGTCATTCGTAAAAAGGATAGAGAAATTGGTCGTTTGCCATCGTAAGGTATAAGCAGAAAAGAAAGAAAACGTTGTGTTTTAGCAAGATCTATAGTAGAAGGTATATCAAGGAGGAGAAAATAGTAGTAGTTTTCATGTTTGAGGTATTGAGGGTAAGTAAAAAACCCATGCTAGCATAAAGATGCGTTCATGAGGTCAACGGAGCTGATCTGTACTATCAAGCCAACTAATTTGATAACTGAACCGTAGATTCTGAGTTCAACACTGATGAGAATGCGCCACTTCAGCTGACTAAATGCTAGTATAAGTTCCATAGAATGCAAAATACGAGGCGAATCGGATGAAAAGTTCCAGACAAAGACAATCACGCGCTGTTAAAAAAGTAATATGAAGCACAATTCTGAAACATTCTGCTGAATCGGTTGGAATGAAAAGTCAGCGCCAACATAGAATGTACTCGGTAACTCAAGCCGCTTCACCAGACTGACACAATTAAATGAAAATTAACCCAACGTGAAAAGGACAAACAGTCATTCCAACTGCAATAAATTCGATGGGTCCAGTTGACCGGAATCAAAGGGGAAATGTGTGAATACTAGACGCGGCTCAAATTAGTCGTAGATGGGGGTGCCCACTAAAATGTATTTGTAACTGTGGAAGAAAGCAACGTGGGAAGGCTGGTTCGTCTTCACCATAGGGCTGTGCGCTGAGAGGAGAAGTGAACCACATCTCACTGGGGGACACACACACAACGGGGGGGGGTGGGGTGGTGGTAGAGGGGTCTCTATACACAGCGATGCGACACAC